TGCAAGATTTCAAGCCTCACCAAGAGAGTCATTTGAGGTACTTGAAGCATACATAAAATATTGGTTTGTGGTATCCCAAAGGAGCAAAGTTTGAGCTAGTTGGTTACTCCGACTCGGATTATGCGGGATGCAAAGTTGAAAGGAAGAGCACCTCGGGCACATGTCAATTGTTGGGAAGATCACTTGTTTCATGGTCATCAAAGAAGCAAAATAGTGTTGCATTATCAACCGTCGAAGTCGAATACATATCCACCAGTAGTTGTTGTGCACAAATACTTTAGATGAAGGCCACTTTGAGTGACTTTGAAATCAAGTTCAAGAAAGTGCCATTGCTATGTGACAATGAGAGTGCAATCAAGTTGACCAACAATCCGATTCAACATGCAAGAACAAAGCACATTTATGTCCACCACCATTTCATAAGAGATCACCAACAAAAAGGGGACATTTGCATTGAGAGTGTAGGCACCGAAGATCAACTTGCCGATATATTCACCAAGCCATTGGATGAAAAAGGTTTTGCAAGCTAAAGAATGAGTTGAACATATTGGATTTCTCAAATATGTGTTGATGCACCCTCCACTCATATGACATGCCTCTCCTTCGAGCAATCTAAGGTAAAAGTTGATTGGCATGGCATACATCCTTGCTAAGGACATGTTTAATGCATTTAGACATCTTTCACATTTAATAGGCTCATTCATGAAAATCAAATGAATTTGATGATTATATGGTACCACTATTGCTTCTATGCTTATTTTGATCTAGTGGTAGCATATGACATGTTTGTGGGCTTGTAAACCTAGTGTTTAATCTAGAAAATGAGCTATAAGTGTTTAACTCAACATGGTATAAGATAACCCTTATTTGGAGGTGTGAAGAAGCTTGTCATTGGATCAAATCGAGTTAAATATCTTTAGCAAATAATCTAGATTGGACCAAATTTTGGGAAAATGATCCTCACCCCATTGATTGACATTGATAATCTCAACCTATCTACATTTTGAACCTTTGTGGTCATTGATGACAAAGGGGGAGAAAAACAAAGATATTAGTACATGGTGAGAAAAACAAAGATATTAGTACATGGTGAACAAAGATATTAGTGTACTAAGATAGTGAAAAGACAACAAATAGGAAGAATTTGAGATAGGGGGAGAGATATGATAAAGAAAAGGGATCAATTAAAATTTTAAGCACACAAATAGGGGGAACAAGCTCATGAACTTGTATGGTACATTTGAATATGCATTTCATATATTTGCTTGCATGGCACAAGTTTTAAATTTCAATATCCATGCTTGTGTGGTGTATGCTAGTTGTAGGTTTGAATGATGAAATGAAAAACTAGCATGCATAGGATATCTAGATATTTCATTTCCATGTGGTATTAAGGTAACCATGGTGCTAAGGATGGTACATTGGTGCACTCCGATTGGTATCACGCTTCAAAGGTCCATCTTTTATACCTTAGCATCATTTGGTAGACATTGTCTCCTATATTTCCTATCTAAGCATATGTGCAAGCTACAATCCAAACTCTTAGCACATATGTAGGAGGAGCAATTGCTACCATTTGGGGTTCATGAAACTTGTCCATATCCTTTTACACATTGTAAATATGCTTGGGCAAGCAATATGGATTCAATTGAATTTTAATTCATATCTTTGTGAAAGAGTTGTCATAAATTATCAAAAAAGGGGAGATTGAAAGCTCTAGTTTGGTTTTGGTGAATTGATGAAATCCTAAGTGCTAACCTAGTTTATCAAGTGATCATGAGATAGGTAGCACATTCCAAGTGGTGAAACAAATGAAGATCATGACATGATGATGGCGATGCCATGGTGATGATCAAATGCTTGGACTTGAAAAGAAGAAAGAGAAAAACAAAAGGCTCAAGGCAAAGGTATAAGTGGTAGGAGTGATTTTGTTTTGGTGATCGAGACACTTAGTGAGTGTGATCACACTTAGGATCGATAGCCGTACTATTAAGAGGGGTGAAACTCGTATCGAAATACGGTTATCAAAGTGCCACTAGATGCTCTAACTCATTGCATATGCATTTAGGATCTAGTGGAGTGCTAACACCCTTGAAAATGTTTGTGAAAATATGCTAACACATGTGCACAAGGTGATACACTTGGTGGTTGCCACATTTGAGCAAGGGTGAAGAATAAAGAGTTGAAAAGGAGTTAGTCGCGCTGGTCACGAGTGATCGGACACGTCCGGTATGGTGACCGGACACGTCCGGTATTAACGATGAACTCAGCGACCGGACGCGTCCGGTCGCCACACCGGACGTGTTCGGTGTGAATCAGCTAAGTCGTTGTTTGGTGAAACAGTTGATCGGACGCTGGCAGTGTCCGGTCCGGAGTGACCGGACACGTCTGGTTGACTATGGGTGCTTACTGGACTCGACCAGACGCTGAGGCTCAGCGTCCGATCAGTTTCTAATAGACGCGTCCGGTCGGCCCTGGGTACTCTCTGGACTTGGCCGGACACTGTGGCTCAGCGTCCGGTCTGAGCGTCCGGTCTCATGTAAGTGTGGGCAGCAACGACTACTATGATTTGAATTGAACACGTGGTGGTCTGGGAGCAACCGGACGTGTCCGGTCGACCTACCGGATGCGTTCGGTATTCACGAATAGTGCGTCTGGTGCAGCATCCGGTGCACTTGAGCAGCGCGTCCGGTCGATGCGCAGTCGGCCCAATAATTGAGCCAACGGCTCTATTTCGTGGGGGCTTCTATTTAAACCCTATGGTCGGCTCTAGCTCACTCTCTTGGTCATTTTGCATTGACATAGTAACCTTGTGAGCTTAGCCAAAGCCCTCCCACTCATCTCCATGATAGATTCATCATATTTGTGAGATTGGGAGTGAGCTTGAGTGTTTGCATCTAGAGGCACTTTGTGTTTGTGTTTCGCTACGGGATTCGCTTGTTACTCTTGATGGTTGCTGCCACCTAGATGGCTTGGAGCAGCGAGGATCATCGAGCGGAGGGTGGTGATTGTCTCCGGCTCCGATCGTGGTGATTGTGAGGGGTTCTTGACCTTTCCCCGACGGAGAGCCAAAAGGTACTCTAGTGAATTGCTCGTGGCTTATGTGATCCTCATCTTGCTCTCTCTCTTTACATTACCGCAAATTAGTTATCAAGCTCTTGAGTGTAGCTAGTTGTGAGAGCTTGTTAGTTTGGTTAGTGTGGCTCTTTAGTTAGCTTTTAAGAGCACACTAACTTAGTATAGTGTCATTGCCATTGTGTGGTTAGAGACAATAGAAACTATAATTGTGGTAGGTGGCTTGCATTTTTTGTAGGCTAGCGCAACCTTGCTTTGTCTTATAATTATCTAACCGGTTTATTAAGTGTTGTTGTAGAAATTTTTAATAGGCTATTCACCTCCCCCCTCTAGCCATTAGGGCCTTTTTTCAGCGTCTGACCCGGATGGTGTGCTAAGAGGACACAAGGATTATACTGGTTCGAGTCGAATGTCCCTACTTCCAGTTTTGGGCTGCTCGTGTTATCAGCACTGAGTTTGTAGTAGGGGTTATAAACGGACGAGAGAGAGAGGTAGCTCCCAAGTCTCTGGATGTGATGCGGTGCGTTTGTTCGATGAATCACTCCCTCAGTGGGACGCACTGCTTTCCCTTTTATAGGTCAAAGGGAAGCAGGGGTTTACAACCGAAGGGAGGAGGAAAAGGAAAGAGAATTAAGGCGTCCGGAGGTGCGCCGTCCTCCTGTTCGCGTGGGTCCTGGTGACCGTGTAGATCGTGGTGGCAGCGGCGTTGTACTGGGGTCTTGTTGGTTGCTGCAGCTTACGTGCGGGCGTTGTGCGCCATTCTTGTCTTTCGTCCCATCCGAGCGGACAAAATGGTTAGAGGATCCCCTGACAAAAAGCCATGCGGGGGGCCAACGGTATAGTGCCGGTCAACTGACGCCGGTTTGACTGACATTGGACGGTGGTTAGGCAAGGAGTTGGCAGCACAGTGACCACGCGTCCGTCATTGTGGGCGATGTGAGTTTCCCGGAATGACATGTCGTGGGGACGGGTCGTGCTGAGATGTGACCGCTCCCTGCACAATGCTAGGAGTTTGACCTTGAGTGGTACTTTCTGGAACCTAGTGGTTGGCGACGACGTGAGCTTCTGTTAAGAACCATGTTCGAGAGATTGGGCGAGGCGGAGCCGGCCCTCAAACGTCGGCCGAGGCGGAGCTGACCCTCAGGGGTCGACCGAGGCGGAGCCTACCCCCAGGAGTTAACCGAAGCGGAGCCAGCCCTCGGACGTAGGACGAGGCGGAGCTCGCCCTCAGGGGTCGGCCGAGGCGCAACCTACCCCGGGAGTTTAGCCGAGGCGGAGCCTACCCCCGAGAGTTTAGCCGAAGCGGAGCCAGCCCTCGGACGTCGGCGAGGCGGAGCTGGTCCTCAGACGTCGGGCGAGGCGGAGCCTAACCTTCGGGAGTCGGACGAGACGGAATCAGCCCTTGGGAGTCAGCTGAGGTGGAGCCGACCCTAGGGGGTTGAACGAGGTGGAGCCCACGATCTTAGTGTCCACTGAGGCGGAGCCAACCCTCGGGGGTCGGATGAGGCGGAGCCCCTGCCCTCGGTGGTCAGACGAAGGTGAAACCTAGCAAGAGGTGTAGACGCGCCTTTGACTGCTTAGATGAATCAATCGTTGATGGTTATTAGCTGCTCCTCTTAGTATTGGTCCCCAAACATAATGCATTGCACTACGCCAGTATACACTGATTCCTTCCGATCAAATATTTGTTTCCTTCAAATTATACATAGAGACAGACCTTGCACTTCCTAGCTACGGAGTAGAACAGTAATTGGTTGTTTTCTAAGCGGATTGATTGCAGAGACAAGAGAAGAACTGATGCTAGCAAGCATCGGGATTCAGGGAGGCGTATCACGACGGTCTCATGCATTCATGCATTCGGGCCGGATGATCAGAACAAGGCTGATTGATAGGTGATGCAGCCGCCAGTGGAGGCGATGATGTAGCTAGGTGGTGGTCGGCGTGCCGGCGTCGCTCCTGCTCTCCGTGGGGCTGTAGAGCGCCGACCGCGGGTGGAGGTTCTTGGGGCGGCTCTCCTCCAGCTGCCGCACCACTTCCGCCATGCTCGGCCTCGCGGCCGCCACCGGCGCGCAGCAGCCCATCGCCAGCTTCAGCGCCTGCACTAGCCCTTCCTCCGCCGGACTCACCCGCAGCCCCTTCACCACCTCCGCGTCCAGCACCTCCTCCAGCGCCGTCTCCTCCAGCACGGCCACCTTCACCACCGACGGCAGGTCCATCGCCCTTGCGGCTCCACCTGCAGAGGACGACGACGGCTTCCTCCCCATGAGCAGCTCCAGCAGCAGGATCCCGAACGCGTACACGTCCGTGCGCGCGCCGCACTTCTTCATGGAGTGCAGCTCCGGCGCCTTGTACCCGTCCGCCTTGGCCGCCGCCAGCACCGCCTCCGCCGCCGCCGGCACCAGCAGCCGGTCCACCGCGTACTCCGCCAGGCGCGCCACGAAGAGGTCGTCCACCACCACGTTGGACGAGCGCACGTTCCGGTGCGCCTCGCCCTGCCCCGCGTGCAGGTACGCCAGCGCGCGCGCCGCGCCCAGCGCAATCTTGTGCCGCCGCGCCCAGGTGAGCGCCGGCCGCCCCGCCGCGGGCTCGCCGCCGCCGTGCAGGAGCTCCTGCAGCGTCCTGCTGCGGGGGAAGTAGTCATACACCAGCAGCTTCTCGCCGCGCCTCCCCTGGTAGAAGGCCCTGAGCGGCACCAGGTTGTCGTGGCGCGCGCGGCCGATGCGGCGCACCACGGGTGCGCACGACGCGGCGTCCATGCAGCTTCCCTCCCGCAGCAGCCGCAGCTCGATGCTGCCACCGCCGCTCGCCAGCTTCGCCTTGTACACCGTGCAGTAGCTGGCCTTGTCCACCACCTGCCCCGTCGCGTTGAGCACCTCCTCCAGCGTGAGGTGCTCGCCGCCCTCGAAGACCACGAGCCTGCCCTCCGACGACGACGCGTCGTGGCCGTCGTCGGCCGACGACTCGAGCATCTCGTCCCGCTCCGCGTCGTCGCGCCTCCTGATCCTGCCGTCCCGCCTCCACCTCCCCTGCGCCCAGCCGATGGACACGGAGGCAAGGACGACGGCGCCGGCCATGAGGCCGATGACCATCCCGGCGACGCCGCGGGAGCTGAGGCCGGACGCCGACACGCACTGGCGCAGCGGCGGGCCGCACAGCGACGGGTCGTTGCCTAGGAAGGAGTCCGCCGTGAAGCGGGAGCCCGCGAAGGCCGGGGGCAGCTGGCCGGAGAAGAAGTTGTAGGAGACGTTGAGCGCCTGGAGCTGCTGCTGGGTCGCCATCCCGGCGAGGGCCTCCGGTATGGGCCCCTCCATGCGGTTGCCGCCGAGGTCGAGGCGCTGGAGTCCTCGGAACGCGGTGAGGAATGTCGGGAAACCGCCGGAGAAGCGGTTGGCGCCGAGGTCAAGGACGCGGAGGCGGTCGCAGGTGGTGTTGGACCCGGCCGGCGCCGGGACGGCCCCCGTGAGGGCGTTGCCGTGGAGGCGGAGCTCGGTGACGCGGTCGCAGAGGTTCCATATGGAGGTGGGCAGGTCCCCCGAGAGGCGGTTGCCGGCGAGGTCGAGCGCGGAGAGCGCGGGCGCGTTGCCGAGCTCGAGCGGGACGGGGCCCGAGAGGGCGTTGGCGGCGAGGTAGACGGAGTCGAGCGCGGAGAAGGCGCCGAGGTCCGGCGGGAGGCGGCCGACGAGCGCGGCGGCGGGGAGGCGGATGGAGACGAGGAGCAGGGCCGGGTCGGAGGCGAGGGACAGGTTGTTGCGCTCGGCGGCTGCTGAGGCGGAGGAGGTGGCGTCGCAGCGGAGTGGCCGGCCGTCGGGCGTGGCCCAGCGGAGGCCCCGCCAGAGGCAGAGCGGCGTGGAGGCGTTCCAGGTGGCGAGCTGCGCGTTGGGCCGCTGGCCCTGCAGCGCCGGCTTCACCTTGGCGAGGAGCAGCGCGACGTCGGGGTTGGCGGAGGGCGAGGCCAGCGGCAGCGCGGCGGCCAAGCAGAGGAGGAGGAAGGGCAGGCAGGGATGCATCGAATCGGCCGGCCGGGGGCCTCGAGGATGGCCTGAAGGACTGTAGAGGCTAGCAGCTCGTGGAGTGAGCTCAAGTGGAGTGAAGTACAAGGAGAGTTTGATTTGAGGAACCCAAGAGACGCAGACGCTCGCTCTCCTTCGTTTTGTGCGATGCAAATATGCAATGGGCTTGGGTTGGGTCCCTCACTTCCCCTTTCTCTCTCTCCTGTGGCCATGTCGCAGCAACAGCAACAGCAACACCAACACCAACACGACACGACACGACACGAAAATAAGGAGGAGGAGAGACGTACAGGAACAATGCAAGGCAGATGTAGTAGATTTGAAATCGAGCGAAGAGTAGTACGTACTATACCGTACACGTACTACACGTACGTATTCCGTACGTCGTGTAGTTAATTCGGCGCTCTGGAGGCAGGACGCGCGCGTGAGTGGCAGTGACAGTGACAGTGTGTGTGAGTGAGCGAGCCGGTGACAACCAAGCAGAAATGAAGGTCCAGCTGAAGCTGCAGTTTACGGCGTGTTTAGTTTGAGCGAGCCGGTGATATCGAATACCAAAGCATTAAATATGAGCGAAAATGAAGGTCCAGCTGAAGCTGCAGTTTACTATAGAGGGAGGCTACACAAAGAACTCCCAAAAGCTATAAACAAGGGCTTACTATAGAGGGAGGAGCTAGGCAGGGACAGCACCATTTCTTTCCTTCCATCAGGCCGTTTCTTGAGCGGCAAGTTCTAATCACACCGTACTCGACACACCATTTGTAACAAGCGCCGCCACGATAGTGCGTTAGGAGCCTACAAAAGTACAGATAAAATGTTAATGTCACGCACGCGGAAACAAGCTCAGCAAAGCACATTTGGTAACTATTTTATAAGTTGGATGGTTAGTTAGATAGCTAAAAATAGGTTATAAACCGGCAGGTTTGATTAGCTAAAGTTTTTTAGCAGTTCTTTATAAACTCTAGGTGGTCCAAGCAGACAATGCAATTTATAGTTGTCGAAGAAAATAGTAATACGCCAAAATAAGCTGGCTAGGCAAGCTTGGGAGGCATAGATCATGTTGGGTTGTGACTTTTAGGTGTTTGTTGACCGCATGAGCTCAAGCTGTTTTTAAATCTTTTTAGAAGAGAGGTTTCCCATGCTTTATACAAAGTAAAATTCAGACATTAGGTTCAGTATGTATGTGCGTCCGCCACAAACACGGGTAAGAAGTCTACTCTGAACATTAAACAAATTTATGCCTAAAAACATTGGATTGCCAGCCAACTCTGAACTCTTCTATAACCATTTTTGTGATGGTTCATGGGTATTGCAACTCTCTGTAGTCCATTGCCAAAGTTGATCACAGATTATCCCAACCTTGATATGTTTGACAATTGCGATACAGGTTTCTCCAACCAAGTTTCTCTAGTTCCATCATTCTTGATTCCAAAGCACCAATGCATCCCTCTACTTTCTCCATCACCAATTGTCCTTGAATAGCACCTTCTCTAGAGCTTCAACAACTTCACCACCTCTCACAAGAACCTTTTTATCCCCATCCATTTGTTGTCCTTGAAAACATAAAAACTTTGAGTTTTCCATAAACCCCACAAAAGTTGTTGCGCACACAGTATTAAACTCCATGTGCTTTTTATTGCTAATCTAGAAGTAGCCAACCGACTCAAAGTCTTGCCTGGTCTTGGTCCCCATCAGTTCAAAAGTAATGTGCAAGATGGCTTTGGCAACAACACGGTCGAAAAATAAACGTTGCACATATTCAGGTTTAGTTAAAAAAAATAGACAAGTTACATCATCCACCTTTCTGCTTTTAGCTAAATTGTTTCTAGTTAGCATCCTGTTGTTAGCCAATAACCACAGAAAAATATGTGCTCTTGGGGGGATAATCAGCTTCCAAAGAGCAAGAGTGTAGGTAGGCACAACTCCTCTATTAGTAATAATAGCATAAAGAGATTGGACAGAATATTTGGCATTGGAGCTATAAGCCCAGAATATAAGCTGGATTATAAAGCTAAAACTCGTTGAGTAAGGCTGTGTTTAGTTCGCGAAATTTGAGAATTTGACTACTGTAGCACTTTCGTTTTTATTTTGCAATTATTGTTCAATCATGGACTAATTAGGCTCGAAACGTTCATCTCGCGATTTCCAACAAAACTGTGTAATTAGTTTTTTTTTTTCTACATTTAATGCTCCATGCATGTATCGCAAGATTCGATGTGATGGAAACTGTAGCATTTTTTGGGAAAAGTTTTTGGTAACTAAACACACCCTAAGCAAAACATGCCCTAAAAGTAATTGCTGTGCTGCTAGTTCTTTTGCCCTCGGATTACTAAAGGTGGGACAGTTGATGAACAAGCACTTCAACAAATGGAGGAAAGGACATCACTGGTCCGCTCACCGTTCCAGCAAACTGTGAATATATAATACGATACATGGCCTTTTGGGAACGAAATAGCGCACTCAGCTTCAGCCAAGAACGAAGAACACAAGATAGCCTGGTGTGGACTAGCCGACTAGACACGAGCCAAGTCTAGTTGCCACGTCCTCTACCTACAACTAGAAGATGATCTTCCAAGTTCCAAAGGATGCATCAACGGAGACTTGTAGTCGGAGAGCTGAGGGTGAAGGTGAACGAACTCATCTGGAAAGCATACCACCAAAGGTAAAATTTTGGCTCTGACCCCCTGTTGCAACGCATTTGTTTCCATCAACAACGTATATATTGTGCAAACATATTGCACCCACTGGATATAGTATTTCCACAGCGCGGCCCTGTTGGCTTGTCTCATGAGCTGTAATTTTTCAGTGAAGGAATGGTTTCTTCTCTCACAATAAATCAGTAAATAGTACTTTTCAGTTTAGCTTATCAGTCAAGCGTACGGGTAGACAATCTATGCCATAGGTACTTTCGAGATGCATGGACGGCGTGCATGCCTTCGGACCAGTACATAAAGGGTTGTTTAGTTCCCAAATTTTTTTGCGTAGTACCCATCACATCAAATCTTGCGGCACATGCATAGAGTACTAAATGTAGACGAAAAAAAAACTAATTACACAGTTGGGTGAGAAATCGCGAGACGAAACTTTCGAACATAATTAGTCCATAATTTGACACTAGTTGCCAAATACAAACGAAAGTGCTACAGTAGCCAAAACCTAAAAAATTTTGCATCTAAACGCGCCCTAAGTTGTTGTTGAACAACATGTGAGAAGTCAGAACTGAACAGAGCAGATGTTCAAAAAAGAACTGAGCAGAGCAGGCGACCTCTGCCGGCTGGCCGACCAGCAATGGGAACTCAACTATGATCGTCAACAAAAAACACACAGATCTCTCAGCTCGTTCACCTAGCTCCAGCAGTATGATACGACTACATTGACCGAGAAGTATATACGACTATACTAGTGGGTTGTAAACATTATGATGACGAATTGCCCATGCATCGATCCTCGAAGCTCTTAGTAAACTCCTACCAATGCAAGGGTCAAGGGATCACGCTTACCAACCCGGCCAGTGCAGCTTTCAAGTTGGAACTCGAGCTATATGTCTGTAAGGACCATACCAATCCAAAGAGACCAAGATCATGCGTCCCGTAGTGCTTGTCCACGAACTAATCGTCACTGTTTGTGCGACTCTGTCTCTCGATCGCCGTCCCACGCCAACCGTAGCTATCAGCCGGGCACTGTGAGATATACAAATGATGGCTGAAGCATGGCGAGATATACAAAAAAAAATGGCCGGCCGCCGGCAGCGGCAGTCTCTGTCATAGACGTCGTCTTCATAGGGATGCTCGCGCAACGCGCATGAACGAGTTCAAGCAGGCCAAGGAACGCAAAGCTGTCATCAACATATATATGTATGATCCATCGATCTCATCGACTAGCAGCTCATATATACGAGTTGGAGTATATGTGCTGCGGCGCTGAACGCACTGCGGCCCCGCTCGCTCTGCAGCGGTGTCCACCAAGCTAATAAGCTAAGGCATCATTCTATCATGGCGTCTCTGAGGCACCGCCGCGGCATCGGAGCCGCCAAGGGCTACGACGATTACATCCATGACGACGACGGCAGCGGGACAGCACCTGACACCGACACCGCCACGGATCCGGAGGAGGAGGAGGAGGACGATGACGAGGAGGAAGAAGAGGAGGAGGAAGAGGAGGAGGACGGCCGCCGCCTGCACCTGGGACTCCACTCCATGACTGCAAAGGTTAGTTCTGTTCCTCCGTGCTAATGGTTGTTGCCTACTCTACTCCGAATCTCCGATGGTCGAATCGATTCAGAGTTCCTTGACAATTGGCATGTACACGGCTGCACGAGTTCAAGGGTTTCTGACTGTATGTTTCCGTTACTGCTCCAGGGCATACAACACCTGTGCTCTGAGCTCCTCGAAATCAAGAAGGCCTCGGAGCAAGACTTCAGCGCTAATGTTTATCTCAGCTACCTCTCCTTCATTAGGTACATAAATAAATAAACACCTAGGCCATTAATTTAATTTGCCTCCTTCGTTCCAAGAACGCCACACCATACACACGGGCATGATCTGCTAATTAATTCATTGATTGTCATATATATCTTGATCGACGGCGGCCCAGGATGTTCCAAGAAGCTGGTGATCTGGACAAGGACGTTCACCACCTGAAGCGTCAGGTGATGGCACACAGGCGGCTCGTCCAGCATCTCAGCACCAACTGCCTGTACTCATCGTCGTCGTCATCGATGGTACTACCTAGTTCCGGCGGTTCCAAGGAGGAGGCCGCCGACATGGACGGGATTGGAATCCTGCCATATCAACGTGAACACGACGAGGAGCTGGAACTGGACGTGCTTCTGTCCGAGCACCGGATGGACGAGGCGCTCCAGCTCCTGGAGCTGCAAGGCCAAGCGCTGCAGACGATGCAGCAGCAGGCCGCCGGCGCCGACGACGACGCCGAAGCGATCGCGTTCGCGTCGAGCGTGCGCGCGTTGTCCGCCAGGAAGGCGAGGGTCGCCGCCCGCCTGGTCTCCGTGGCGGAGAACCCGCGGACGCCGCGGCCCGAGCTCCTCAGGGCGCTCTCCGGCCTCTGCAGGCTCGGCGACGCGGAGCGGGCGAACCACCTGCTCTTCGAGCTGCACCGCGCCAGCGTCGTCCGCGGCGTGGAGGACCTGCGCGCGTCGCAAGGTCACGTCCACAACAGCGGCGGCGCCGGCGGCGGCAACTACATCAAGGACCTGGCGCGCGTGGTCTTCTCCTCCATCATGCGGACGTCGAGGAGCTTCGTGGCGCTGCACGGGCACCCGTCTCCCTACACCCATCGGCTCGTCCGGTGGGCGAGGGAGGAGATGGAGGACCTGAGCGCCGCCTTCTCCGAGTACGTGAGGTCCATGTCGTCGCCCGCTACTGCCGCCCACAGCTTGGCTCTGGCGCTGGAGGCCGCCGAGTGCGCGGTCTCCTACTCCCCCCTGCTGAGGGCCGTCGACGTCGTCGCCTCCGAGCGAGACGTGGTTGCCCTCGTCGTGCCCTGCGTCCGAGACGCCGTGGCCATGTATGGCAGGCATCTCAGGGAGGTGGTCCGGCTGTTGGTGGCTTCCGACGCCTGGGTGCTCGGCAGGTTCCTCATGCCACCTGGAGTCGTGCAGGCTGCTGCTGGAGCACCGCAGACTGAGTACTGCCTGCTGACAACCAACGGAAGGAAATTTGTCACCCTTGTACAGGTACTGTTACATATTTATATATATGTATATATGTATGTATTGTTGTTCACAAACAATATGTATGTATAATTGATGATTTGGCTGGATGAACAGGAGGTTGTGGAAGACGTAGCCTGGCCGTTGCACAGCCTTGGGATTGGGACGAACGATTCAGTAGGCCTGCAGCTTGTGGCAAAGTTGTTCAGGGAGTACATGCACTCCATCGTGGAGCTCATCCCCAGAAAGGAAGCAGCTGCTCTCCAGCTCCAAGACGAAGCGACCGGCGACGAGCGGTACACGTGGCAGCTCGCCGTGCTAATCAACTGCACGACGTTGGTGTCCCTGTTTCCGACCATGGCGTCCGGCGTCTTCAGGACACCGCCATCACCACCGTCGTCGTCGGGTTTTCCGGCATCAGCACAGAGGGAAGTAGTGGACAGCCTCATCTCGCTGATCAAGGAAGCGTCCGGGCAGGTGTGGAGCTGCTTCTGCCAGCAGTTCATACGAGACACGATGTCGTCGTCAGCGAAGGGCCGCCGCTTCGGAAGCGGAACACCGCCGCCGCAGGCGCAGGGCTCGATGATGCCTTCTATGGCTTTACAGGTGGTGTTCCTTCGGGTGAGGCGTCTGACCGAGGTGTATGGCGCGATCTTGAGCGGCGAGGACGGGACCATGAAGAAGCTGCTGCGGGAGCTGATGGAGGCGATGATCTGCTGGCTCTCCAGCAACCTGGACTCGTGGGCCGTCCATGGCGCCGCCCTGGTCCAGTTTGATGTTCATTTCCTGCTGGAATTCGCGCAGCTCGGTGGTTTCTGCTCTGAGAGCATCAGGAGCAGTGCGCTGGACCTGCTTATCAAAGCACAAGAGAAGGTGGCGGGTGGCGAACTGGATGACGTCGATGAGGTCGGCGGCGGCGGCTGGGCTGCCGATGCTGCAAAACACGCCGTGCAGGTGCTACTAGCAATGGGGGATGGAGGCGTAGCTGCCGTGGAAGCTGGAGAGGAATCCGATGAGACGGCAAGGAGGAACGGCAGTGACGAAGAAGCAGGCCAAGAGGAAGCACCCGAGGATGAGGATGAGGACGAGGATGAGACAGGGACGACCAACAAGTCCAGCGACGAGTTCATAAGCTTGGAGGACGAGGAGGACGAAGACGACGGCGTGAGAATGCCTGCTGCAGCTTTGTCATCAAAGAATCAGAAGCCCGGGTATTCAGAAATGGGCGATGGCGAAGAGAGGACGAATATTCGATCAGGCCATCATCCCGAGCTTGAGCAGGCTGAGGGCGGAAGTGACGACAACGTGACACAAGATGAAGAAGGGATGTGCCATGATGCCATACAGCAGCAGGTTGAAGAGCAAAGCAGCAGTAGCTGGGAGGACATTATTGATGGCGAAGGAGGCGGCGGTCGGAGCAGCAGGACGCGGCGTCAGTCAACTCCTCTTGTGATGGTGGCAGGGAAGAATGCTCCTAGCCGGAGCAGAAAAAAGAGGGAGGCAGTGAGCAGAAGCAGCCAGCCCAGATGGCATATATAACTGATCACCAATCGAACTAATCCTCCTAAGATTTGTAGGCTGGATAACTGCATAGAAATGTGTCTGTAATATAATATTATCAGAATTGCTATCTGGTGCCCAGTTGTTTTCGCTCCCTCCAGCAACCGGTTTTCTGTACATCCGATTTGGCACGTGTCGCTGCGTATGTCGTCCAATTTTGCTTGGTCTGCCGCCCGAACTGTCTCCGGCACTCTCGTTTATCTGTGTCTCCGTCTTGTGGGGTCCGCGCGTCGGCGCTACTGTTTGAGTTTTGGGGAGTCGCGCTCGAATGTGTAGCGTCCGTTTCTCCCTTTTCCTCATTTCATTGGGAAAATTGGCTTAAAAGATGTCAACTTTAGTAATGTACCATTAAAAGATCACCTCTTTACTATCTAGCATCGAAAGGTCACCGCGTTATTGGTTTCTACCACTTCCGTGACCTTTGCTAACGTTCCATGTATCTCCGTTCTTCGAGTCGTCTTTTTCGGAATGTCTTCACTCGTGTAACTCAACCTCGTAGCTCCCGATCGACGCGATCGACGTAAACGGGGTCCTCGAGGACTTGGAGAGCGCGGCGAGGCTGCTGGTGGAGCGCCAGGACTAGAAGAAACTGTTGGAGAATGACCAGCTGTGGTGGCGCGTTCCAGGGCAGGAGCGAGGGGCCCATCACCTTCTCCTCGACCTACAAGTACTACCCAACTCCGACGCCTACTATGGCTGCGCCGCCGGGGCCACGGCGTCCGTAACAAGCGGCACGCGCTAACGTGGTGCGACGATCGCATCCTGTGACGCGGCGCAGGGCTCAGGCAAACCGGTACTACCGCTGCGAGTCCCTACTATCGGACCACCGCCCCCGTTCGCTCCGTCTTCACGGTGGAGGTGGACGCGCCCAGGAACCTCAACTCGCTCAGGAGCTTCTCCATGTCCAAGAGGTTCGACAGGGTTGGCAGGAGCCCGGCCGACCACCTGCTCCGCGCAAGGACGACGTCAACAACGCTAGTTGCCTCTGAGTCTCCGACGAAGAACTGCAAAGCAGAGTCAAGCGGGAGCATGAGTATAGAAACCACATGGACAGATAAAACACGGGTGGTTAAACAGCGCTGGTGGCAACACACCTTGCCGGATCCAGCCATGGCGACGACACGCTGGGTGCGGCGGCGGCGGTGTGTGAGCAGCTGATACGAAGGTACCGGCACCCCCGTCTCCACCACCCATCCTCGCGTGCGCCGGTGTTGGTGCCACGCCAGGCCACCTAGAGTGGGACCGGCGCCCACGCCTCCGCCGGCGCCATCATCTCGGACGGTGAGGGACCGCGTGATTGAGTTCGGCAAGCACACGGGGCAGTGCTGGGCACGCTGCCGCCGTCGTTCTCTAGTGGTGTCGTGGCCAAGCTCGACTACAGGGGCACCGCGCCGGGTGGCCTCGCGCTCTCCAAGTCCTCGACGACCCTCGACCATGTCGAGTGCGAGGTAGGAGCTGCGAGGTTGAGTTAGATGAGGGAAGAGCTTCGGAAGAAGACGACTCGATTAACGGAGATGCACGGAACGTTAGCAAAGGTCACGGAATGGTAGAAACCAATAACGTGGTGACCTTTCAATGCTAGATTGAAAAGAGATGATCTTTTAATGATAGATTGCTAAAGTTGACATCTTTTAATGGTACTCAGCCAATTTTCCCCATTTCATTCCGTCTCGTCTTCCTTGTGGTGCTCTTGTTTCCCATCGGCGGCGACCTCGCGGTGCTCTTGTTCCCCATTGGTGGCGACCTCACAGTGCTCTCATTCCCCGACGGCGGCGACTGACGATTTCTAGGGTTTGGCTAGGTTTGCTGCTTCTGATCCCTTGTTTGCTAGTAAATCATTGTTGTTAGGGTTCGTTCTCGCATTAGTGATGTGTTTGTACGAGGGGTTCGAGTTTATTCCTTGTGAATCTATTTTTTCTGGCGCTGGTTCGATGTCTTGTTCATTTGGGTTTCTTCGTCGGGGTTTTGGTGCAGCGCGGATGCAGGCTCTGTGTTTGTCACCGTGTTTGGGTTTTATTTAATTTGATTGTGTGATTTTAGGCATGAGAACGAATGATCCATGGCTCCGCTTCGTGTTTTTTGCCGTGGGGATTAGCTAGATGGTGACGAGATTTATGGTGATTTCATCTTGACTCTTAGGTTTTAGCCTGTAGGTGTGCATCAGATCTGCTTCGCAAAGTACATCTGCACTTGTCCCCCTCTCTGCTCGCTGGTTGGATCCCCACGAGGACACGACCATGATTTGAGTTCTAGCTGGTTCGATTGGCGTGATTAGCTAGCTGGTTCGTCCTTCGCCTTGGGCATTTGGGCACAGCAAGTGGGTGCTGTTTTGTTTGTTCCCCTTTTGAATTCTGATGGCTTGCATTTGCACAGCCCTTTTGATTTACCATTTCTTTGATTGATGCCTCCTGTACGTGCTTCCTCTCCTCTGCAGTCAGCATGTATGTCAGTTGTATGAATGTAACTTTAATTTGGGGGGATTGGGCTTTGTTTGTGTTGGTGGCACACAAACACAGCACAAAAATAGTCATCTTAATAATTACTTTGTTTCTTATGGGCTTTTACCTTTATGTCATTCTAACATAAACTATTGTTATATTTGGTGCTATAACAATCCTTTTTCCAGTTTTTTTCTATTTTTGGACTTTAAAGGTAACGTTTTTTTTTATTTTCAGTTGTTTGCTGCACCTTTTAATATTTTTTTTGCTTTTTCACTCTTCCGTTAATCGGTGAACAATTTATCCTCCCTTTTTCTTACTGTTTTTTGTATGATTTTTCATCCAGTTGTCCTTTTCCATTTACACTTTTTTTCATGAATTGTTTGTAGGGGGCTCTAACACCTTAGTAGGCTTTACTGGTAGGGAGATGATCGGAATGCAACTGAGGGACACCCAAGGCTGATATATGATTGATTAAAGGGTAAGTTCTTATCTGTGCAAAAGAACACCTTTTGCTTAGGCCAACACTTATATATTACTAGCACTAAGTTTACATCCTAGTATGCACTGTAAATTTTTATACTCGGTGATGTAATTTTAGTATATCCTGTTAATATGGCATATGTCTCTAGTATCTGCAATCATTTGCAAATATAAGTTGGATAATATGTTTCTTCTATGAACATTGTGGCACATATGTCTTCAAACCTATGGGTTTATTGCTTTTGTGCCTTTGTCCTATAATATTATTTCTTTTTGGCCCACTATAGACATGTTTCTGGACTGGGATTCTATTGAGCAATGTCTTTTTATTCTTCTAGTCAATAGAGCAAATCAGGTTAGGTTGACACATGTGTTCATTTACATTGTCTTTTTAGTATATTTATATTGTCTTATTAGTATATTTACAATGATTTATTAAATATAATTTTTAACTAGAATATGTGTAAGTTTCATTCTCATCATTAATTTCATTGCAGTTTCAATTGGCTACCTGTGTTGTAGCGAGCGTTTATTATTTTTTCTTTCATTGCTTCTGTCATTTGCTTATGTCCGTTTCATTTTGGCGTCTCTGCTTTTTCATGCGGTTTGTGTCATGACATGTTTATGGACTGTTTGATCACCTATAAGCTCTTTTGTGTTGAAGAGCTCAGTTGTGAGGTTGTTTTTGTGGTGTATCAGCAGGAAAGGACAATAAATAGATAGATCATGTTTTGTTATAGAAACTGCTAGAAATATTGGCTGCCTTTGGTTTCTGGATTCCTTCATTTGTGAAGAATGTGGAATTTTTTTGTCTGTTATCTGGATTCCATAGAAAAATCTGCTAAATATTATTTGTTCTGAAGAAATTTGTTTTTCATTTGTGATGTATGTGCCATATTTCTCTCTGATATCTGCCTTCCATAGAAAATATTTGGATTTTTTTTAAAGAGTTTGGTGTATGTCTTTCTGAATTCCTTCACTTATCTCAGAATTGTATTTATCTCTGAAAATATTGTTTCATAGTTTCAGAGTTTGTGCAGTGTTGTGGTTGTGTGCTCTGTTCATCTAGTCAATAGACCAAATCAGTGACATCTGATTGGATTTACATTGTCTTTTTACTGTTTTTACAATGTCCTATTACTATATTTACACTAAACTTTTTAGTGTAATTTCCTTGATAGGATGATGTAAGTTGGGAATGAGAGAACTTCTATTCAGTTGGTCTTACATGCTCCCAATTATGGAGTGTGAATTTATGTAAGTTTCATTATCCTCATTATTATTTCTGTAGTTTCAAGCAGTTCTGTTTTATTTGTTTAATCTTGTAGCCATTTTCAGAAACACATGTGGGAGCCTCCGGCACTAGGTCTGCCTTTGTAGCCATTTTCAATTATTGGAGAGTAACTTCTCTTACTGTATTCATGTGGTGTGTTTGCTTTTTTCCATGTGGTTTGTGTCATGATGTCTCTTATTGCATTAGGATTTATTAGATAATGTATCTGGTTTCTCTTAACATGTTTATGGACCGATTGATCACATATATATAGCAATGGTTTGTTACTAGGAAGTGTGATCTTTAAGAGTTGTGTTTTGAGGTTGCTTATGTGTAATGCCAGCAAGAAAGTAGAATAAGTAGCTAGATCATGTTTTATTATAGATACTCCTAGAAAACACTAGATGCCTCTCCTTTTGTGAATTTGTTCATTTGTGCACAATGTGGAATAGTTCTTTTATTATCTGCATTGCATAGAAAATATTTGGAAAATATTATTGTTTCTGTACAAATTTGTTTTAGATTTGAAAAGCATGTGCCATATTTCTCTTTGATATCTGCCTTCCATAGAAAACATTTGTGTATTTTTTCTGAAGAATTTGACATATGTAAAACCATTCAAGTGACCTGACTTGCTGCTTACTCTTGATGTGAGGAACCGTTGCCACATTACGCATGAAGTGATGCTTTGCTCCATGAGCCACTATGGGATCGCTGCCGACTAGCAGAGCAAGCTGGACATGACCATTGCTCTTACCCGAGAGAACTACCTGTTGAGGTATCTT